AATAATAATAATAATAATAATAATAATAATAATAATAATAATAATAATAATAACAATAATAATAATAATAATAATAATAATAATAATAATAATAATAATAGTAATAATAATTATAATGATAATAGTAATAATAGTGATAATAATAGTAATAAGTGTCAGTAATGGAAATAAAAAAAGAAAAATTGCGCCATTTGTAAAGCATTTAACAAAAATTTTCGTTTAAGAACCGGTGATAATTGGAGAAATTTCGATAAATTTCGAAAACAGCAAAAAAAAATCAAACAAAAAAGTAATATTTCAAAGCACATATAAAAAGAAAAATATATCAATACAAGCTGACCGTTAACCCTTAACCTCTAAATTTTGAGCTTATTGTAAATGAAAGACCAACAGGTATTTGTATAACTTATCTGAATGAATTCACAAATGTTTAAAAGTTACTCATCAAATATTAGAGTGGAATAAATTATGGGATATCAAAATTACATCAAATCATCTTATCATATTCTTTGATAGTGAATAAACAAAGAAAATACCATAAAATGTATATGTTTTGTTAATTTTGCAAATCATAAAATTGGAAAGAGGACTGATTGGTCATCTATGCACAATACGAAGTGGTTGTTGGTCATTTTCTAAATCAATTTGAAAACGATAGTTTTGTTGGAAGAAATGATGTTCCTGTTGTTGCTCTTGCTGCTGCTGTTGTTGTTGTTGTTGATGTTGTTGTTGTTGTTGTTGATGTTGTTGTTGTTGTTGTTGATGTTGTTGTTGTTGTTGATGTTGTTGATGCTGTTGTTGTTGATGTTGTTGTTGTTGTTGTTGTTGTTGCTGTTGTTGTTGATATATAATAATTGGAAGATTATCGTCAAAAGATCGTTGTTGAAAATTTTTCGGTATTGTCATCATCTTCGATTGTGATCCACTAATACCAACAATCACTCGATGTGCTCGACCGATCATTCCATTACATTCCCGTGATGTCATAAAAAGTTCCTGTTGTTTTTGCTGTTGTTGTATGTATGGATGATGCTTCCGTCGATTATCAGGATATTTACATCGAATTGTTGATGAAGATAAATAATATGAATCATTTTGCTTCAAATTATTATACGAATTTTCATTATTAAGAGAAGAAGAAATGGACATAGAATGACCGCTATCTGAATGATTCCATAAAGTATTGTCGATCGGTACCGCATAATGTATACCATTAATTTTCTCCTGCAATATATTTCTTTTTTCATTTTTCTTGTATATAAATTTTATTTTTTAGGAATAATCACACAAAATATTTGGTTAATTTGAAGTAAAAATTCCTGTATCAATTAAAAAAAAAAAAAAAATGTACTGCAAACATGTGAAATTGTAATTTAATTTACTGATATAATATTTCTTCATCTTTTAGTTTTGAAATTTTTGTGAATATTCAACACAAAATTAATAATTCCGTTTAGTTAACTATTAGATATGTCTGTATTGAATTGCAATATTTAATACTTCAATAATTAGAATGCAAAAAAAAGATAAAATATGGATGATGTAAGAGAGGAAAAAAAAATTTCATGCAAATTGCATAAAAAGGAAAGATTAAAGAAGAGATGGAAGTATAAAAGTATAAAAATCATTCCTTTACAATACACAAAAATATTAGCATTCTTTCGAAAAATTTCGCTTCATCCCTTCTTTTTTTTCACATTTTAAAACAATTGAATATTAAAGATTTATTGTTAGCAATATAAAATGATACTAATTTTGCTTAACTGATAATATCAGTATTTACTCTAGCTTTATTTCTTGGTTCAGTCTATCCCAATTTGGTTTAATCTTTTTGGAAATTGTATAATAAAGGAATCATTCATTTACTGGTGCCTAAAATTTCGGTAAGAAATTAAATTTAGGAAATAATTAAATTAATTTAGCAAATATAGTAAGAAAACAAAACAAACTGTATATCATAGTAATGTGTTAGTAATATGTATATTAAACTTTCTAATAGATTGTTAAAATTTGTTTCATTTTACAGCAAAATGATTAATTTCATGTTTAAGATTATTGCAAATAAAAAATGGGTTGATGACATGTCAGGAGTAAATTTCCTGAAACATATCAGTTATGTCGGGAGTGAAAGTTCAGCATACCGGTTGATGAGATGCTGGGAATGAATTTCCCGAAAAAGTTTATAGCATATCGTTAACACATCAAATCATTCATGCTCAAATCAAATTAAGACATTCTCAGTGATAATTTGCCAAACATGAATTCTTTCAAAAAAGAAAAAAAAAACCAAAATTTAAAGAAAGAAATCTTAAAAGTAATATATTTACTTACTTATCCTTCGAGTTTTAGCCTGCAATTAATTAAACAATGTATTGTTGGTGGGTGAAAAAAAGAAAGAAAAGATATGGAATGAAGAATTTGTGGTTGAGAAAATAACAAATAGAAACTAAAATTGTTTAATTAATTTTCTATTAATTACCGAATATATTAACCATAAATGATTAATAATTAATACTAAAAAATATTCGCTAATTACATAAAATCAAATCTTATTTTGTATTGTTTATCTATTTCCAGTGCAATAATATCTTAAATCACTGAAAAAAAAAAAAAAAAAAACTAAACAGTAGTTGTTTTAGAATTAGCAGAAGTAGTTGTTCTGTCACCGAACGCTTCATCGCGTTCTCGATCTGTTGATACTTTTGATTGAACTTTGTTCTTCCAAACAAAGTGTCGACTGGTTGGTGTTATCTTTGATTCGTCTTTCATATCATCCGCACCAATGGTAGTTGTTTGACCAGTTGTAGAAAGATTTGTTCCGAATGGTTTTGATATCGCATTCAATAAATTTCCATTATTAGATGTTGAAGTTTCCTTTGAACTGATCGAATTTTTCTTCGTTGCTGGTTTTTTATCCGCAGCACTAGTTTTTCGTGTGTAACGATACGGTCCAACACCTTCTCTTGTTGGTATTGTAGTTTCTTCCTCTACTACTACTGGTACGTTTACCATGTCTTTTTTGGAAGACTTAATTGGTGAAGATGATGATACTGGTGACACTTTATCGTTTTTTTTGAAACCTGATACAGCCTTCTTTGTGGTACCAGTTGAACCACTTTTTGTTGATGTTAAAGCATGCAAAGGCTTTGCAGATCCTTCATGATCCGATGAATTCTGCTTATGAGATGGTTTCATATCAGTTTTCCTTAGTGAATCCTTAACTTCATCCGATTCAGTGATCCTTTTCCACGAAGGTCGAGGTGCTTCTTCAGTTTTGCATGCAATAGATAGTAATGGAGGTGGCTGCGATTCATTATCTTTGATCCATGGCGGTTTCTTGATCCGACCTGGTTTGACTGTTTCTTCGGTTGTTAAACACGTTTCAGGTGGATTCTCGAATCGTTCCTTGAATTTTGAGATATCCACTTTTGGCACAGCCCGTATCAAATGATTATTTTGTTCCTCTGTTTCATCCTCTATTTCATGGGACAGTTTCGATACGACTTCTTCAGGTTTCGTTGGAGCTGCATAAGTTTTTCGGGATATTGCTATTTGTTGTTCACTTTTAGCTGATGATTTTCGTCGTAATTTTGATCCCTTCGTACTTGATTTCTTTTTCACTGAATCTTTGGTACCTGAGGTTTTTTGTTTTGCTAACGGTGTCTTTTTCCCCTCTTCAATGACTTTTTCCTCTTTCTTCTGATACCAAATCGGCTGAGAAGCTTTATTGGATTCGTCATCAGTGGAAAATTTACGAACCATTCTCCGGATACTACTTTCGCTTTCAGCTGTTGCTGCTGCTGCTTGTTCCTGCTCTTTGGTATGTTTTGCTGGAGCAGAAGTCGGGGACTGTTCCACAGCTGTGTCCCCAAAAAATTTTCTCATCCGGGAGATACTAGATTCACTATTGTTTACTTCCCCATCTAATTTCCTGGATTTGCTTAAGTTTCGCACGGGGCTATGCGATTCCTCTCGCTCAGTACCACCAAACATTTTGATTCGATCGCGAGCTGAACCAGCAGGAATTTCAGCTTCAATCTGTTTACGAGTTGGTATTGGTGACGAATAGCATTCATCAGCTTTCTGCTTTCTTGATAATTGCAATGTTACCGTTTCCGGTTCATATTCTTCACTAACATCATCATCGTCATAATTTTCTACATCAACACTAACATTGATCATCGGTAGTCGATTTAATGGTGATTTTGTAGGAGATGAGGTGTGGGAAGAATTTGATGTGGCACCTATTCTGATACCAGCTTCCGGAACAACTGGTGAAGCAAAGAACAAGTCATTTGATCTCTCAGGAGGAATATTTGAAAGAGAGCTAAACCTTGAGGTACCAATACTGGACAGATCACTCAGGCTTTGACTACCGTAAACATCATCCTCATAATTTGACGTCGAAGGTGACGATCGCCCTGGGGACCTTACACCGGAATCATCATCATTGATTATTGCAGAACTTTTGTCATTTGTAATGGTTTTCCTCAGTTTGACGCCTTGTCGTATGGAACGCAACAACTCATCTCGATCTACAGTAACTTTACCGCCTAACTTCATCAGTGCTGGTTTCGGAGATCGTGATCGTCGGAGGGGTTCTGCTGATGGAATCGGAGGTGGTGGTGGCACAAGTAAGGGAGGCGGTGGCGGTGCCATGGCAGGTTCCACTGGAGTATGTCGATCTGGAGATGTATCACGGCTAACCGGAAACGGTGAACTACGATCATTTGTTTCCACTTTACGCAACTTAACCCCACCCCGTATCGATGCTAACAGTGCATCGCGGTCTATTGGTTGTTTACCGCCAAGCTTTAGCAGTGCAGGATTTGTGATCGGTTTCGTGGTTTTATTCTGCTGCACATGAGATGATAGGAAGTCCGGTGACGGTGAAGGTGGCACAGGTGGTGGTGGGACAGATGTAGCGGCAAGATTTGTCGTTGAGTTTGATAACGCAAATGTTTCTGGAACGGGAGATGCTGTACGGCTCAAATCATTACGCACAATTCCGACACCAATAGGGGCACTTCGGTCATTGGTTACAGTTTTGCGCAATTGTACACCACCGTGAATTTCGTTGAGCAATTTATCGCGGTCAAACTTGGCGCTACCGCCAAGTTTCAGTAGAGCTGCAGGTGGTGGTGCTTTTGGAGGTGGCGGTGCCAGTGGTACCGGCGGTACATTTGTGTTCTCGATATTTTTTCCATAAAAAACAGGTTTCTTAGCATCTGGTCGATTATTATACGCAGAAGTGGAAGCGACAGAATCAGGTGGAGGTGAATAACCACCACTTCGTACACGTCCAACACCAGTCGGTGCACTTTTGTCGTTGGTAAGCGTATGCCTCAATTGCACACCGCAACGAACTTCATCCAAAAGCTTGTCTCGATCAAATATCGGCTTCACCGCTACCAATTGAGGAGCTGGCTTCGATTTCTCTTTCAATTTTTGTGGTAACTCAGGTGGCGGGGGTGCTATTGGTGGAGGAGGTGGTGCTCGCGATTTTGACGTATTACGAGCCAGATTATGCTGGCCCATTTGCACCGGTCGAGCTAGATACATCGTATTTGGAGAAAAATATGATTTATTTCAAATCAAACAATTTTTTGTCAGAATAAGAATTACCAAATTACTTCCTTTGTTTCGATCCTTTGGTATCATCCACAAAATCATAAGCAAATTCCTGAAATAGAAGGAAATACATGGAATATACAATAAACATGCAAAAGAATGCAATGTAAGATAATCTAGTAAATACATATCCGGTCGATATTTATCCCTCATTAAAACAATTAAATCAAACAATTATCAAATTAGAAACTTTCTACTGTTAGCTTTAAATACTAGCAAATCTCCTTCATTTCATTCATCCCAATTTAAAATTTTAATCCAAAAATATCTAATGAAATAAAAACTAATTAAACAAGCTATTGATTTATTGCTTAATTACTTTAATCAAATCAAATATCATTTTCAAATTTGAATAACGTTTAATAAATTATCAATAATTAGCTTACGATCTATTGCATGCATAAATATCTCATCAGAATTCAATTTACATTTTATTGCGAAAAGAAAACAAATAAACTCTCCCTCCCTTTCCTCCCTCTCTCTCTCTCTCTCTCTCTTTCATTTAAGTTGAATTTCATTGAATTAAAAATGAATAACAAATAATAAAGCAACCAAATGAAGACGATAACACATAGATATATGATTGTTATATCATTAATTTAATATTCTTAATTTTAAAATTCAATAATACCAAATATGATAGTGTCAAGGAAGACAAGATGAATAATTAGAATATTTACAAAATTAATTTTTCTTTACAGATAAGGATATTTCAATATATTTATTAGAAAAAAAAAGATATTTTAAGATATTTTAAAGATATTTCTCTACAAAAATGATAACAATTAAATGAGATGAATTTTAAATAAATTCATTTCTGAATTTAAATTTGTAATAAATTTTTCTCAGTAATATCAAATTATCACCAATCACTCAATATTGATCAATCAAATTATTACAAATGAAACTATCACAATAGAATGAATCAAAAATACAATCAATGAAGAAGGAAAAAATTATTAATTAAAAGAAAAAAGGAAAAATTAAAAAATTAGAAATTAATTATCAAAATATAAAAAAAATTGAAATTATCAAAAGAAAAGAAAAGAGAGAAAGATCAGTTATAACCTTTATAATTGGATAACGTTCAATGAACATCACTGTAACAACGACACTGTCCTTGACCTCACAATTTTTCATTTGATATTTCCAGTCTGTAATAACAAAATAATTTAAAAATTTTTTTTTTTTAATTTCTCACCTTTTTCTTCCTCTCTCTTCCTCTCTCTCTTGTTTAATTTCAAGTTTTGCACGCAAGAAATGATAGGAAAAAACATTTAGAAAGTCTAATTATAATGTCACATAATAGATTGGTATTTATGAAGAACGAGGAATTACGTATTAATTACATTAGTAAAAAGAATTTAATTAAATTTAAAATTACGAAAAAAAATGCAAAAACTTTGAAAGTAAGACAGGAATTTGCATAATAAATAATCCTAATTTTTAGCATAGAATGAATACAAGTATTGATTAGAATAATAGAATATTGCAATTTACACATTATAATACAAGTATAAAGATAGTACAATTCACATAATACCTGAAATATGAAATAAAGTTTGAGAAAAAAAGAGCAAAACAATAAACAAACTAATAATATTTAAGCCAAAAAATGGTTGTAAAAATGAATTTAATTTTGTGATATATGATAAATCAATTATCAGATATCAAGTATTAGATAATGTCAGGTATAAAAAAGAATGAGAAGTAAATGATTTGATAAATGAAAATTGAACAGTGACAAAGAATGAGTATAGTAGGCCAATTTTTAGTTGATATTATCAGAGAGAAGAAGCGATCAACTGAAGTATGGAATGAAATGGATGAACTGAATTTTGTTTTAAAAACAATTGTTTCAACCCAACAGAAACATGTATTACGAAAAATTGCAATGAGCAGAACCGAAAAGAGTTTAGAATTGATTAGATGATGGTAAGAAGGGATGAGAAGGTGATAAAATTAAAAAGAAAATTGTGATAAATGTAAGGGTTTGCTAGAATAAGCATGCTTTAAAGTTTGAAACCAAAAAAAAAATTACAACAAAAATCTTATAAATGATAATTAATTGTAAGAGGAAAAAAATAAGCATGTATACTCCATTGTATTCCAATTTCAATCGAATTATAATTTCAGAAAAATATGCTTTCATTGTTGGATTAATTTGAATTGAAAAAGTTAAATTGAAAATTTTATCTGAAATGATAATATTCAAGCTTATCATAAGTGAATAATTAGTTCATCAGTCAAAATATAGCAATTGTTAGTGTAAACTTATCAGTTAAACATTCAATTGAAATTATTATTTTATTTTAAATTTATTAACTTAACATTAACCTGTTTAAAACTTTTCCAATTTTCGTTTTTTTTTTTAAAATACATTCGAAATGATATTTTTTCATTGAATTATGAATTGACTAAATTTGAATTAAATTAAATTTTTCCGAATTTTCTTCGATTTTTTTTCAAAAAATCTTGCAAAAAAAAAATGAAAATTTAGATGAGAATTTGAAAAATTTACATGCAATGAAAAATTTATTTTGGATCCTAGGAAAAACCGGATAAATGCAATCCGGTTGAGATAATTAGCCATTCTGTTTGTATTATTGGAGATTAGGTATGATTTATGTTTTCATCCTGGCCACTCATTATTACAACATTAAGTTTGTCGTATTTTATTGCTGCTCACAAACTAGTCTTTACAGTAATCTGAAGGTTAACTTCTTATAGTTATTTTAAATTGTGTTTAAAACAAAAAAAAAAAACGAAATGTAAAATAAGATTATAAATATTTAAAACAAAAGAAATAATTTAAAAAAGAAAAATAATAAAGAATTTTGGTGAGTAAACAAGTTTCTAGAAATGATATGATTGTGATAACTGATCATTTAAATTAATCATTGATATTGTATTTGATAAGTTAGATGGAAAGATAACAAAAAAAAAAAAAAAAAAAAAAAGAAAAGAAAAATGAAATGGAAAAGAAATAAAAATAAATTACTGGAAGCATTAAAGGAATAACAGTGTACGTCTTGGAAATTTTGAAAATTGTTGAACTTTATGAGAAAGATTTTCATCCCATAGAAAAAAATCAAACAAAACAAGAAGTACACATCATATATTATTGCTAATAATTCTTAAATAACTTTAAAGTTTACTCTATTTTTTTCTTAATTTAAAAATTTCATCAAAAAGCTAAAAATAATGAAAATTGTATTTTGTATGAAACATTCAAATAATATTTTAAAAGTTTCATCAAAAACTTCTTAAAAATTGCAAAATATTGGAGTTGGAAAAGAAAAAGACAAAGAAAAAACAAAAACTTTGAGAAAGAAAAATAGCACAAAGAAGTGAGTTAAAAGAATTGTGAATATTTTAGATGGAATAAAGTAGAAAGAATTTCAACATATCAATTGATGAATAATTGATAGACTACTACTCTTGAAATATTTAGATTGAAATTTTAGGCTAAAAATTTTATCCCAAAATTTAATTAAAAAAAAAAAAGTCGAAAGAAATTTCAATGTGACATTTACATTATCTAATTTTTTGGCATCATAAAAATTTTACGAAAACTGTTAATTATAGGTGCAATAAATAATTTTAATTGTTAAATGTCATTGTAATGCTATCATATCATTGCAAAATTAACCCATTACTTTTCATTATTATCATCATAAATGAAAAACCAAAAAATCGAATTAATGGACAATATTTCAAGAGAAAAGTAAGAGGGAGAGAGAGAAAGAAAGAGAAAACAAAAAATTCATTTTCAATAATTGTCATCGTACCGTATTTGAAGAAGAAATTTTGACATGGTCAATTTCAAAATAAAAAAAAAAAACAAATTATTCAAAATTTTGACACAATCATGAAATGCTAAGAGAAGTAAAAAAAAATCAAAAATATTAATGAAATTAAAAATGAAAAATTAATAAATTCGATGTAATAAATCCAATTTTATAAAGATTACAACGCAAAAAGAAAGGAATAATTTTTTTTCCAATTAAATTTGAAAATCAGTTAAATTGAAAATTAATAAAACAATTGCAAGTTAAATAAATATCCTCTATATGTAATTAATATTGCAGTTAATATTAAAATAATTTTGTTATTATCTCCTAAACTGAAAAAAAAAATGGGCAAATCACAAAAGTTTCAAGTGTAAAACTTTTTAAAATTCCATTTTTAAGTCTTCAAAGATAGCCTTTCTATAGATAAATTATAAAAAAAAATAATTTTAACAAATGAATAGGAGAAATTGCTACTTTAAAATTCCCTGTATCAAATCGCATTAAATTAAAAAAAAGAAAAAAGTAATGTCAAAAATTTGCAAATCTTAAATATCATAAAAAATTTTTTAGGAATTCTAATTTTTTAGCTTCATCGTTTAATAAACCTTTACCTTTTTCATCTATTGTATTTAATATAAATTATAGTAAATTAAACTTTGAAAAGAACGAAAAGTTAAATAATTGGGATACAAAAACAATAAATAAGCAAAGTAATAAATAATAAAGGAAAAGAAATAAATGAAACTATTAAATGAGATTAATGATTTAAAAAAAAAAAAAATTAAAGAAAAATATTTTGGAATTTATTAGGAAATGAAACTTGTTTACCTTTTTGGTTACATGGTAACATTTTTAGGGTGAGAGATTTTTTTAATAAAATTATTATTTAATGGATTAAAATTTTTTAAAATAGTTTTTCTCAATCAACCATTCATGTCATGTCCATATATCTCATCCTATACTATATCCAATCCCATTTAAATTATCAACTATTCATAACAACAACTACTACTACTTTTATTTTTTACTGTATCCATCATTGAATTACCTCCTTTTTTTTTTTATGTCATATTACTGTCACATCTTCTTCTAATAATTAATTGACATTTCAATGAGTGTAAAATGTATAATATATTC